ATTGTCTACTGCTGCTACAACTAAAGATGAGTTCACAACTATTTCACTAACTAAGGGAGTATCGACTGAGTCTACACCAATTGATGGCATCACCACCATCATAGTTACTGATGATGAATCATCTACTCCTGCTACCACTAAAGATGAATTCACAACTATCTCAGTAACTGAGGGAGTTTCTACTGAATCCACAGCAACAGATGGCATCAACACCACTATTGTTACTGAAGACGAACTGTCTACTGCTGCAACCACTAAAGATGAGTACACAACTATTTCACTAACTGAGAGAGTATCTAATGAAGCTACACCAACTGATGGCATCACCACCATCATAGTTACTGATGACGAATCATCTACTCCTGATACCACTAAAGACGAGTTCACAACTATCTCAGTAACTGAGGGAGTATCTACTGAAGCAACAGCAACTGATGGCATCATCACCATCATATATACTGACGACGAATCGTCTACAGCTGCTACCACTAAAGATGAGATCACAACTATTTCACTAACTGAGAGAATATCTACTGATGGCACAATCACCATTATATACACTGACGACGAATCTTCTACTGGTGGTACCACTAAAGATGAGTTCGCAACTATTTCACTAACTGAGAGAGTATCTACTGAGGCTACACCAATTGATGGCATCACCACCATCATAGTTACTGGTGATGAATCATCTACTCCTGCTATCACTAAAGATGAGTTCACAACTATCTCAGTAACTAATGGAGTATCTACTGAATCCACAGCAACTGATGGCATCAACACCATTATTATTACTGAAGACGAATTGTCTACTGCTGCTTCCACTAAAGATGAGTTCACAACTATTTCAGTAACTGAGGAAGTATCTACTGAGGCTACAGCAACTGATGTTATCACTACCATCATATATACTGACGACGAATCATCTACTCCTGCTACCACTAAAGGTGAGTTCACAAATATCTCAGGAACTGGTGGAGCCTCTACTGAGGTTAGAGCAACTGATGGCATCAACACCATAATTATTACTGAAGACGAATTGTCTACTGCTGCTACCACTAAAGATGAGTACACAACTATTTCACTAAGTGAGAGAGTATCTACTGAGGCTACACCAACTGATGGCATCACCACCATCATAGTTACTGATGATGAATCATCTACTCCTGCTACCACTAAAGACGTGTTCACAACTATTTCACTAACTGAAGGAGTAACGACTGAGTCTACACCAATTGATGGCATCACCACCATCATAGTTACTGATGATGAATCATCTACTCTTGCTACCACTAAAGATGAGTTCACAAATATCTCAGGAACTGGTGGAGTATCTACTGAAGTTACAGCAACTGATGGTATCACCACCATCATATATATTGACGACGAGTCATCTACTCCAGCTACCACTAAATATGAGTTCACAACTATCGCAGTAACTGAGGGAGTATCTACTGAGGCTACAGCAACTTATGGCATCACTACCATCATATATACTGACGACGAATCATCTACTCCTGCTACCACTAAAGCTGAGTTCACAACTATCTCAGTAACTGATGGAGTATCTACTGAATCCACAGCAACAGATGGCATCAACACCATTATTATTACTGAAGACGAATTGTCTACTGCTGCTACCACTAAAGATGAGTACACAACTATTTCACTAACTGAGGGAGTATCGACTGAGGCTACACCAATTGATGGCATCACCACCATCATAGTTACTGGTGATGAATCATCTACTTCTGCTACCACTGAAGATGAGTTCACAACTATCTCAGTAACTGATGGAGTATCTACTGAATCCACAGCAACAGATGGCATAAACACCATTATTATTACTGAAGACGAATTGTCTACTGCTGCTACCACTAAAGTTGAGTACACAACTATCTCAGTAACTGATGGAGTATCTACTGAATCCACAGCAACAGATGGCATCAACACCATTATTATTACTGAAGACGAATTGTCTACTGCTGCTACCATTAAAGGTGAGTTCACAACTATTTCACTAACTGAAGGAGTAACGACTGAGTCTACACCAATTGATGGCATCACCACCATCATAGTTACTGATGATGAATCATCTACTCCTGCTACCACTAAAGGTGAGTTCACAAATATCTCAGGAACTGGTGGAGCATCTACTGAGGTTAGAGCAACTGATGGCATCAACACCATAATTATTACTGAAGACGAATTGTCTACTGCTGCTACCACTAAAGATGAGTACACAACTATTTCACTAAGTGAGAGAGTATCTACTGAGGCTACACCAACTGATGGCATCACCACCATCATAGTTACCGGTGATGAATCATCTACTCCTGCTACCACTAAAGACGTGTTCACAACTATTTCACTAACTGAAGGAGTAACGACTGAGTCTACACCAATTGATGGCATCACCACCATCATAGTTACTGATGATGAATCATCTACTCCTGCTACCACTAAAGATGAGTTCACAAATATCTTAGGAACTGGTGGAGTATCTACTGAGGTTGCAGCAACTGATGGCATCAACACCATTATTATTACTGAAGACGAATTGTCTACTGCTGCTACCACTAAAGATGAGTACACAACTATTTTACTAAGTGAGAGAGTATCTACTGAGGCTACACCAACTGATGGCATCACTACCATCATAGTTACTGATGATGAATCATCTACTCCTGCTACCACTAAAGACGTGTTCACAACTATCTCAGTAACTGATGGAGTATCTACTGAATCCACAGCAACAGATGCCATAAACACCATTATTATTACTGAAGACAAATTGTCTACTGCTGCTACCACTAAAAATGAGCACACAACTATTTCACTAACTGAGAGAGTATCGACTGAGTCTACAGCAATTGATGGCATCACCACCATCATAGTTACTGATGATGAATCATCTACTCATGCTACCACTAAAGATGAGTTCACAAATATCTCAGGATCTGGTGGAGTATCTATTGAGGCTAGAGCAACTGATGGCATCAACACCATTATTATTACTGAAGACGAATTGTCTACTGCTGCTACCACTAAAGATGAGTACACAACTATTTCACTAACTGAGAGAGTATCGACTGAGACTACAGCAATTGATGGCATCACCACCATCATATTTATTGACGACGAATCATCTACTGCTGCTGCCATTAAAGATGAGTTCACAACTATTTCACTAACTGAAGGAGTAACGACTGAGTCTACACCAATTGATGGCATCACCACCATCATAGTTACTGATGATGAATCACCTACTCCTGCTACCACTAAAGATGAGTTCACAAATATCTCAGGAACTGGTGGAGCATCTACTGAGGTTAGAGCAACTGATGGCATCAACACCATTATTATTACTGAAGACGAATTGTCTACTGCTGCTTCCACTAAAGATGAGTACACAACTATTTCACTAAGTGAGAGAGTATCTCCTGAGGCTACACCAACTGATGGCATCACCACCATCATAGTTACTGATGATGAATCATCTACTCCTGCTACCACTAAAGACGTGTTCACAACTATTTCACTAACTGAAGGAGTAACGACTGAGTCTACACCAATTGATGGCATCACCACCATCATAGTTACTGATGATGAATCATCTACTCCTGCTACCACTAAAGATGAGTTCACAAATATCTCAGGAACTGGTGGAGTATCTACTGAAGTTACAGCAACTGATGGTATCACCACCATCATATATATTGACGACGAGTCATCTACTCCAGCTACCACTAAATATGAGTTCACAACTATCGCAGTAACTGAGGGAGTATCTACTGAGGCTACAGCAACTTATGGCATCACTACCATCATATATACTGACGACGAATCATCTACTGCTGCTACCACTAAAGATGAGACCACAACTATTTCACTAAATGAGGGAGTATCGACTGAGGCTACACCAATTGATGGCATCACCACCATCATAGTTACTGGTGATGAATCATCTACTCCTGCTACCACTGAAGATGAGTTCATAACTATCTCAGTAACTGATGGAGTATCTACTGAATCCACAGCAACAGATGGCATCAACACCATTATTATTACTGAAGACGAATTGTCTACTGCTGCTACCACTAAAGATGAGTACACAACTATTTCACTAACTGAGGGAGTATCGACTGAGGCTACACCAATTGATGGCATCACCACCATCATAGTTACTGGTGATGAATCATCTACTTCTGCTACCACTGAAGATGAGTTCACAACTATCTCAGTAACTGATGGAGTATCTACTGAATCCACAGCAACAGATGGCATAAACACCATTATTATTACTGAAGACGAATTGTCTACTGCTGCTACCACTAAAGATGAGTACACAACTATTTCACTAAGTGAGAGTGTATCTACTGAGGCTACGCCAACTGATGACATCACCACCATCATAGTTTCTGATGATGAATCATCTGCTACTGCTGCTACCACTAAAGACGTGTTCACAACTATTTTACTAACTGAAGGAGTAACGACTGAGTCTACACCAATTGATGGCATCACCACCATCATAGTTACTGATGACGAATCATCTACTCCTGCTACCACTAACGATGAGTTCACAAATATCTCAGGAACTGGTGGAGTATCTACTGAGGTTACAGCAACTGATGGTATCACCACCATCATATATATTGACGACGAGTCATCTACTCCAGCTACCACTAAAGATGAGTTCACAACTATCGCAGTAACTGAGGGAGTATCTACTGAGGCTACAGCATCTTATGGCATCACTACCATCATATATACTGACGACGAATCATCTACTCCTGCTACCACTAAAGCTGAGTTCACAACTATCTCAGTAACTGATGGAGTATCTACTGAATTCACAGCAACAGATGGCATCAACACCATTATTATTACTGAAGACGAATTGTCTACAGCTGCTACCATTAAAGATGAGTTCACAACTATTTCACTAAATGAGGGAGTATCGACTGAGACTACAGCAATTGATGGCATCACCACCATCATATTTATTGACGATGAATCATCTACTGCTGCTACCATTAAAGATGAGTTCACAACTATTTCACTAACTGAAGGAGTAACGACTGAGTCTACACCAATTGATGGCATCACCACCATCATAGTTACTGATGATGAATCATCTACTCCTGCTACCACTAAAGATGAGTTCACAAATATCTCAGGAACTGGTGTAGCATCTACTGAGGTTAGAGCTACTGATGGCATCAACACCATTATTATTACTGAAGACGAATTGTCTACTGCTGCTTCCACTAAAGATGAGTACACAACTATTTCACTAAGTGAGAGAGTATCTACTGAGGCTACACCAACTGATGGCATCACCACCATCATAGTTACTGATGATGAATCATCTACTCCTGCTACCACTAAAGACGTGTTCACAACTATTTCACTAACTGAAGGAGTAACGACTGAGTCTACACCAATTGATGGCATCACCACCATCATAGTTACTGATGATGAATCATCTACTCTTGCTACCACTAAAGATGAGTTCACAAATATCTCAGGAACTGGTGGAGTATCTACTGAAGTTACAGCAACTGATGGTATCACCACCATCATATATATTGACGACGAGTCATCTACTCCAGCTACCACTAAATATGAGTTCACAACTATCGCAGTAACTGAGGGAGTATCTACTGAGGCTACAGCAACT